AATCCATTTGCTTGTCGAGGATTGTTTTTATCTATTTTTAAATTCTATTTAAATGTTCATTTATGATATTATTTTATATTGTATGGGACATTCAATGTCTGCCTTGTTTTGGAAGCTGCCCTGAGTCCCCTTGGGGAGAAAAGGTGGGTTAGAAATAAAACAGTAATTATAATAATTATTAGTATAGTGGCCATGGCAGCTCTAGGTATCTTTTCAGGGAACAGAGAATAATAAAAATCATTTGTCAGCTAGTTACAAATGACACATTTGTAATAGTGTGTTACAATTTAGAACAGCGTTTCTCAAAGTGTGCTCCGTGGAGTGCTTAGGGCCCTTCTTTTTCCTGCTGCTCCCCCTCACCCCGCTTCCCTAGCCACCAAAATACTTTTCAAAAGCCTTTTTCCTCATCTTCCTCACCATTCAGGTCCTTTCCGCGTTACCTTGCTTGCTTCCAAAACCCCATTTCCCTCCCACCACCCATCTTTTTCCTCATAGCAGAAGGAGGTTGGACTGGATGGCCCCTGGGGTTTCGCCTATTATTATTATTATTATTATTATTATTATTATTATTATTATGATGGCTGGGTGGCTATCTGTTGGGGTGCTTTGATTGTGATTTTCTTTCATGACAGAAGAGGGATGGACTGGATGGCCCCTGGGGTCTTCCACTGAAATACCGTTAAGTTTATGTTGGTCAAAATGTTTGACCATCCTGATATATATACAACCCCCCCCCCCCCACACACACACAACACATACAAATACACATTTTGGGGGGCTCCTCAAGAAACTTTTGCTTCAGAAAGTGCTCTGTGGCTGGAAAAGTTTGCATTATACATTTGAAGAATTTACTAGTTTCCTTTACATCTGGGACAGAAGGAATCTGAAGCTTAAGAAATTTGAATTAGAGAGAAAGTGAAAATGAGAGGAAGCGTTGACTATTCTAGCAGCATTTTGATTCTGCTTACAGTATGGCCCCATATCCACAGGCCATATTTTCCTGGCTTCATGTGAATATGCAAAACTGCAGAGAACAGTGAACTTCTTGAAATAAATAACTTTTGGCCCACAAATTCCACAGAGTTGTGCTGAAAGAACTAGAAAATGCCTAGAGAAGTCATATTTTGTCAAATGTGTGTAAGTAAACCCATGGATATTGGTCCTGTGGATATGGGGGGGGGGGGGTCATATGCTATTTAAAACATTTTGCCTTTCCTTCTGATAAGAGGAATCTCTGGTAAAACAAGGAGAACATTGATGTTTATTTTAAAACAGGAGAATCAATATATATAATGCACCTTTTAAAAAAGGTAGTGGTGTTTTGTGAAGTTTTGAGTGGAGATGGGAGAAGGACTGGAGAAGTTCATGTTTCCTAGACCTCAGATATTGCTGTTTTAACTTCTACATTTCAAAGTAGAGCAAAGGGGAGAGTCACTCCCGCGAATATGTGGAGGACAACCTGTCATGGCAAATAACCTTCGTGACTCATGGCAAATAACCTTAGTGACCCTCATATCTTAGTTGTCTTCCATCTCATATAATATCATCCAAATGTTTTAAATTCTGTTAAAACCTGTCAGTTTTTTTAATTCATGTCAAGCTATGCTTGGACGAGAGGAAGAAATTCCCAGAATATTAAAAAGCTTAAACAACAAAATCAATGGAAATACTTATCAAAGGCTAAAAACATTGAAAAACAAGTTAGAGGTGTAATTAGTTGAAAGTGAACAGAAACTGTGGGCATTGTGACTCTGTAAGGATATGAACCTATGCCTTCTTGGTCAACATCCAAGTTTAATGGTGGTCTGACTGAAGCTCTCCAGTAGTTACTGAACTGCAACTCCCAGAATTCTTTTGAGTACACTGGCTATGGCTGGTAAGGCTTCTAGGGCCACAACAAATGGAAGCCATATTTTGTCAATTTCTGATCTAAATGCTGTTGCCTGTCATGATAATTCCAGCCTTGATCTTTGCTTGTATGCCATCACATATTTCAGATGTTGATTTCATCTCACATTATTTGTGTAATCTAGCCTTCTGGAAACATAGCAACCGCCCACAGTACTGGTGGAATAACATTTTAAGAACATCTTTGTTGTAAACATGAGCTGTAAAGCCATTAGTGCATATAAATGATGTTGTGCATTCCCTCCATGAAGCCCAAATCTCTCCAGATGTGACCTCAGGTTGGCTCTTGAAAGAATAAATGAGATTTTGCTCTTCAGATCTCCCAATTAAAATGTGTTTTTTTTTCTTTTTGTTTCTCCTATGGATGTATCCAAAGGTAAAGAAAAGCTGACCTTGTACTGAAAAAAAATGCATTAGGACAAATGAAATCATATTTATGTAAAGAGAAATGCGATCTGTCTTACAAATTGACATGCTCATGCTCTTGCTACCATATTCAGAGCCTAGGAAAAGTTACATTTATGGATTGCAGCTCTCAGAATCTTTGAGCCAGCATGATCAAACCTGGGTTCTGAAGTCCAGAAGATAATATTTTCCAAGCGCGGATACTGCAAATAATAGAGAAGATGCTTATTGTTGCTGCATGTCAGTTTAGCTCAAAAGTAGGAGTAACAATGGCGAAAGATTAAGTGTTGGTGGTACTTTAGGGATGTTGCTTAGTGTTGCTATATGTTTGCTTTACATTTCACAGCAGACACTGGCTTTACGCTGGCTTAGCTTCAATTTTTGCTCATTTTGGCTAACTATCTTGAGATATTTGTTCAAAAGATGTGGTGTAAATACCAAAATGGGAAAAGCCCATGAGTTCTAGTTCAGGAGGGAAAAAAGGGGTAGGCCAATGGTAGTCCCTGAACCAGTGCCAGTCCTTGACCCATTGGCTGCTTGTTTGTGACAGGTTTCCAGGAAAGAATTGTAGTCAGTGCCATAAATATGCCATTCCTTGGCAGACTGGAAAACAGCAATGGCGGAGTCCTCACATTAAATAGCCCATAAGCTGGGCTAGGGTGCCCATATTCCCATTCTACAGTTGTCATGATTTTTAATTATTATGATTGAAAAAAAGCAAGACCCTTCTGAAAAAAAAGCATTATAGGTTTGCTTTAGGGCCACTATAAGTTATAAGCTACTTGAAGACCCACAACAAGAAGAATATTTAGCATACAGTGGAACCATGTAACATTTTTATTACCATGTAATGGTTTATTTCATCCCACTTCTTTCTCAAAAAGTTTCTCAGTAAGCCTTTGGCAATTTTAGTTTTGTTTAGTTGAGTAGGGGAGAGATGGTGTTCTTATATGCCTGCTGATTACTGAGCAGTGTTCTTCATCATCTTGAAAATTCAGAAAATGTTGCCAGGAGAATTGGTTAACTCTATACCCCACACTGTTCTAATTAGGTAGGAGTAACTCATAATGAATGGGAAATGAATAGGATACTGAAAATGTACTTTGATGGGTACTTTTTCAGATTTCATTTAAATAATTATGGAGTATATTGTATTGGTCTGAAGCATCTTTTCATGAATTTGCCCAACCAGAAAGTGTGTTGCTCAGATATGTTTATAACATACATATTCATATATTTTTTTAAAAAAAAAATAAAGATGTAAAATTGACAGGGGAGGGAAACTTAGCGTTAACCAAGCTTTTTATTAATCTCTTATATTCTCAGTATGTTCCCATCTCCATTGTTCCTGTTATCTATAAGAAACCAAGGATGCAATTAGTTTTGAAAAGAGGGAAGCCTTACATCTGTTTATGTACTGTTTGTCTCTGTCAGTTGTATAACAGCATTGAATGAGACCCCTCAGGATTATGTTGTTGTTGTTGTTTTGTTGTTGTTGTTGTTATTATTAATAATAATAATTTTGTGGAAAAGGCAAACAAGAATAGTTTGGAAGGTAAAAAGAACACCTCAAAATGCTTCACTCTGATTTTTTTGTCTCTCTTTTTTTCTCCTCACCCTACATGCAGTCACGTGGGCGTGTGTAAAGTGAGGGAGAAATAATCGCGCTCATGAAATACGATTAAAAGACACTATTGTATGTATTAGAGAGCTTTTAAAATAATAATGAAACTGTCAAAGGCTTTCATGGCCAGAATCACTGGGTTGTTGTAGGTTTTTTCGGACTATTTGGCCATGTTCTAAAGGCATTTTCTCCTGACGTTTCGCCTGCATCTATGGCAAGCATCCTCACTACCTCTGAGGATGCTTGCCATAGATGCAGGCAAAACGCCAGGAGAAAATGCCTTTAGAACATGGCCAAATAGCCCGAAAAAACCTACAACAATCCAATAATGAAACTGAATTTACAGATAGATCAGTTACAGAATTTGCTCCATGGTCTGCCCCTCATGGGGAGGAGATTACTGAAAGCCAAGCCATTACTCCAGCATCTTTGTAGTTTTTTTCTATTTTTCTTTGCCAGGATTTCTGCTCAGGCAGAGATTTAGACCAGCATTAATATGTCTATTTGGAAACTGAAATCCTAATTTGGAAAAAAAGTGAAATAAAAAGCAATTTTGGAACATCCTTGCTTCTTTCCAGAACTTGGGCATCAATAAATCATTGCTGACTTTAATGCTCCTGAAATGTATTCTCCACTGTAATAGTTGCATATTTAGCCAGGGTTCATTTCTCTTGGCTCTAAAAAGCGGTAGAAACAAAGAATCCAACTATTTCTGCCTGAGAAGACACTTGAAACGAGGCACTGGCCATGTTTTTGTTCTGAAGCCATATTATTCTGGATTAGCCATCATTATACCCTAATTTAAAAGCTTGACTCATCAGCCCCTGCTGTTAGTCCTTAAGAACTGGTTGGAAGACTTGAAGGTCGAATGGCTTGGAAACTGAAATACTTATCGTTTTTGCATGTCAGTCCAGAAAACTGATGACCCTCTCTCAAATAATTGTTCTGGAGATTCCATAATCTATGTTTTTCACAGTTTAATTATGTATTTATCAAAGGTAAAACTGCAGGGCTGAAAATGAAAAATGCAATGGGGAAATTATAGTGTTCTTGTTTTTGTTAGGTCAGAAGAGTGCCGGGTTCCAGTGGCCATCTGCACAAGACAGAAGATGGAGACTGGGAGTGGAGCGATGATGAGATGGATGAAAAAAGTGAAGAGGGTAAAGCTGCTTTTTCCCAAGAAAAGGTGAACATTGGAAACTACTGAATATGTTCATGTATAATGTTAAACATATTAGTCAAAGAATTGACACAAAAACCAAGGTTGACTTATCCACAGGTCAGTGTAAATACTTTCCCTTAAGTCTTTTCAAAAAAGGTACCATCTCTGAGTAGAGTGGTGAAAATTATTATTATTATTATTATTATTATTATTATTATTATTTTACTGACACAAAAAATACAGTATGACACATTATTATTATTATTATTATTATGTTCATTTATACCTTGCTTTTTCTCTCTACAAGGAGACTTAAAAGCAATAGTTTAGTCTGTTTTGGTAAAACCTAAAAGAAGCACTGACCTCCTCACTACCTCTCTTTCCACTGTAGTTCCAGTTTTGGCTTTTTTGAATACCTGGTGGGAAAATGGCAACAATCCCTCACAAAAATACTGAGAGACTAGAGGAGATTGGCACTGGGTCTTTCTTCTCTTTGTGGAACTACCTTCGATTTATCCACAGGTCATATCAAAATCCGTAATTTTAATACCCAGACCTGTCCTTGACTTATACATGAAGTTGACACAGGTATCTGCAGTATAAGTGTTTCAGTAATGCCTATTGTGCCTAACAAATGTAATCAATCTTTGTTATGACACAGTCTGCAATTAGTAACTCCCGATTCTTCTCTTCTAGTCGCGAAGGGTTAAAGAAGAAGAGAATGCTGAGGTAAAAAAGAAGTGTTTACTTTTCTAAGTTTTGAGTGGGTGGGTAGCTTTTAATAATTCATCTGTAATAAAGCTGAAGTTAGGGAATTATTCAGCAGTACTTTAGAGTTCTGGGTTTGGTTTGCTCATCTACAGCACAGGAGCAGAATATATAAAACAAGAATGAGATGTAGATTTGAGTAAACAGTCATTGCTTTGTAAAAAATAGTTTGAAAAACTAACATGGTAAATAAACAGAGATGTTGCCATACTTTTGTTGATGCTTAATGCAATGCTCTTATTAGCTTAAACTAAGCTTAAATTTATTTAGATTTCACATGCCACTTACTCTAACTGTCCCCCAAATGATTTGCAAATTTAAAATTTGTTAACATGATGTAAAAAATCCTTTTAACATATCAAAATATTACTTTTTTACTGTTCTTCTTTCCCTCTGCTCCCTTTGTTTTAGAGGGGTTTGAGGGATAAATTATGGGAGGTGCTAGTGATAATTTTGCAGAAGGAAGGGGAGATTTTGAAAAATAGCTTTCATTGCCTTGCCACTTATGAAAATCTCTGCTAGATGAAAGAACCTTCTTTGACCAGAAGAGAAGAATTTGATATAAACCACTGTTTTTTTCTCATGTTTAAAAATTATTTCTTGTGCTTATTGGTGTATCAGTGTGTGTGTTTCATGCTTTTAAAAAGTTTTATAATCTTTTAAACAGATTTCCATGAATTCCAGCAATATCCCTGATCAAATACAGAATCTGTCTATAAAAGGTTCTCAGGTACTCTGTCTATTAAAGCTATATGTGTTAGAGAAATGGATTTAAGAACTAGTCAAATTGGTGGGGCTGTGCGCATTCAGATGTAATGGCTGTTGGAGATGGCAACCTTCTCAAGCCTTAACTATTGAATGTTATGTCTGTTTATAATGTGTTGTTTTATTTCCCGAAGTGTATGTCTTGTTTGGTTTGCAGTTTCTTTAGCTCTATGTACTTGAAGCAGTGGGAGGGGCTGCAGATCACATGACCATTTAGAATGCAGTTTTAAACATGATGACAGTTGAGGAATGATAGTTAAGGCTTGAGTCAATTAAAATACAGAAGTCAGTGTTAGAAGTTAGAAGACAGTTAAGCCTTGAGTCAGCTTAAATACAGAAGTCAGTTTTCATTCAGATGTTAGTGTAGGAAGTTAGAAAACTGTTGATGCTTGAATACTTCAAAAGTAGACTCTTATGAAAGAGAATTGTACAGAGCAATTTAGTTTTTGAAGAGACTGTTAAAGAAAAAAGTTAAATATACAAACTGAAACATGTTAACATTTAACCTGACAAGAAATGTACCTGTATATTTAAATACAACAAGTTATGAGTAAAACAAACTTGTTATTTTAAAAGAAGTCTACTTGAATCTTTGTCTGCTGATAGCATTGAATAGAAACAAGATATTTACAAGCCCAGCGATCATCCATTACTTAATAAACTAAAGGATCACTGTTTTCTAATCGGTTTTTTAAAGTAACTGCTTCACTGGGAAACAGTGTTTTCCCTTCCCAGGATGCTTGTGCCCTGCTTTGTGCTGGTCAGTGACCGTAATAATATTTAGTTTTGTATTGTATTTTACTAAAGGAACACCTCCATAACTCTGCTACCCAATAGGTTATGATCCTAACAGATCATAATCCATAATCCCCAATAGGTTGTGATCCTAACAGGTCATCATCCCATTGTCCCATTAATGGCATGTGTTGATGTGGTCTTGGGATCACATCCTCACCATACAGTTCATCCCACTGTTATATAAGACAACTTTGTTCCCAATATTTACTGAATGATCAGTTGTGATATCAACCAAAGTGAGATGTGAATATCCTCCTTCAGAAAAAAAAAATGCAGACCTGGGTCCTCATTGTATCAGTTACTATATCAGTAGTGATTTTTCAGCTAATCTTAAATTTTACAGGATGGAAAAACTGTTTGTTTTCTTTTGTGTTTGGTGAGGTGCAATACTTTGTTAAACCAGCATTCAGTAGGATAGATATGACCATGTTAAGATGACGCGATATATGGATGTTGGATTATGACACTCGAATCCCCACTTGGCCATAGATACTCGCTGAGTGATCTTGAGTAAGTCTCAATCTCCAGCTCAGAGAAAAGCAGTGGCAATTTGAACAAATAGCACTAAAAAAAAACCCATGATAGGGTCACTTAGGGTCTCCATAAGTCAGAAATGACTTGAAGGCACACAGCAACAACAACAAAGCTGGATGTTCTGAAACAAAAAGTCCTTAATGTTCAGTTTATCAGACCGATCTGGGCAGTAGACTTAAACTGATTGTCCCTGGCTGCTTAATCTATCTTATTTCAATATTTTGAGATTGATTGTTCTTGGTTAAATATTCTACCGTTATGTTAAGCTTTTCTGTGTAACATTAACGGTTACCTCATTCACAGTCAAATGGAGTAAGTTCCTTAGAATGGATTCTGCCTTGATTTATATAATATTAAACCATTTTTAGGAATAATATGCTGTACCCCCCTCTTTTTTTTACCCTTTTTAAAAACCAGACTCGACCTGCTGTTAGCAATGAATGTGGTGAAATTCCGTGTGCTGTGAATCTTGTTTTAAGACTAAGGTAAGAAGCTCCTTTTGTTTATTTTTCATATTTCCCTCTGACATGGTCAGTTCTCTTATCTATTATTCCTCTTGTTAAACTTTTATAATATTAGCAAAAAAAATAAGTGTTAACATAGTCACTCTCCCAGTATGACCAATATGAATGGTGTTCCCATGACTAATTGCTCTCTTTTAATTGCTTAGGAAAATAGGAGTTAGAGGAGAGGGGAAAAAAGGAATACTGAATATGAATGTAGCTTCAGGCTAAAGGTACCCTTCATTAAGTATTTTCTTTTTTCCCCTCCTTTTTCATTCTGTTGCAGAATCACAGTGAGAGATTTTTAATGAGTTTCTTTCACACTTCAGCAGTCAACCTCTGACGGAAATAAACCATGGCTGTAATACAACTTGCCTGCTCAGAGCATTTTTACTGGGCAGGTTTGATCAGCCACATGAGGGGGGAAAATGACTGATATATTTTCAAAGAACTTTTAGCCTTTTAGAAAATGATACAAATAACAGTGTCAGGCTTCATAGTTCTTTGGAAGTAGACAAGAGTTCCATTTTTGAGGAAATGAGTTTGTAGCCTATTAATTGCTTCTTAAATAGAAAGTTTTTTTGGTGGCCTAATTAATTTTCACCGAGCCAACTTAACATGCTTCTCATGCAGTTCTATTCTAGTTTTTCCTCTGACCTAAGCTAAAATGACTTGGAAAATTGAAAAAAAGTCTTCAGAGTTGATCTTCAGAGTCGATTTCTTCTTTGATTGGAAAGAAGTGGTAATATTCCCCCCTCTTGACATCATGAAAAGAGTTACTTCTTGGAACTGAAGGTTTATTGTAGATCACTACAAAAGCAACTGCCTAGCTTTTAAAAACATTTTAAGGACCTTCCTTGCTTCTCATGTGTTGCGCAGTGTGGCTGTGTGCAAGTGCTCAGAGTCCAGCTTAGGCCTTACTCCAGTTGTATTATTTCACTTACAGAAGCTCCTTGTGTCCAGAGTCAGTGTAAAGCAGTGGTTCTCAACCTGTGTGTCAACCTTCAACTCCCAGAAATCCTAACAGCTGGTAAACTGGCTGGGATTCCTGGGAGTTGTAGGCCAAAACACCTGGGGACCCTCAGGTTGAGAACCACTGGTGTCAGGGAAGAATGCAGTGTATTTCCCTTTGGATAAGAGACTACACAAAGCAGATTGTGTGTAGACTCTATCTTTTGCATTTAGGATTTTCATACTGAAAACTGGAGCAGGCTCCTGTACCTTGAATAGCTGTACAGAAAGGGGACTTTCTGTGAGTGTTCTTTGTCATGCAAAAGCAACACCACTTCTATACAGCCAACGCTAGTTACACTAGCTATGTTTTTTACATCATTCCATCATATTGGATCTGATTTCAGTTAGCAGGTACTAAGATAAGGGCTTGTTTTGTTTTGAACTGTTTGTGTTATTCTCATCTAGCCTTGTGAAAGAAGGAGTTGGATGTTTTTCATCCCTGTCAGAGCAGATGAAAGTGTTCTAATAATGTTCATAGCTTCTGTATTTCACCATACAGTCTACTTCATGTAGTAGTTTCTATTGCCATTTGTGCAAGTCAGGAACTACATGAAGAGGATTAAAAAAAGCATATCTAGGCAATTATGAGGTTGATCTCCTTCCTCTTACATTTGACATGAAGTCTTTCGCAACCACCATAAGAATTGAAACCTCACTGTAGCATGCCCATAATGATATACTGTTAACTTGGTAACATACTAGAATGTTCAATGGGAACACTTTGTCTAGTCATCCAAATTCCACAGATTTTTTTTCAATGTAACACTCTGTCTGCTACTCAGTCTCATTCCTGAACTGGATAGAGGGTGATATTCTCATATTTTGCCATCCCCCTGTTCCTCCACTCTATCTCTTCTAGCACTTCCAGATAATGAGTTGTTGTTGTTAGTAGTAGTTTGCTGGCACACAGTTTTTGTTTCTGTTTTTTTAAAAAATACATATGGCGGTACAACCTTTACATCTGGTTTATCTGTTCAAATACTTGGGGGCAGAGGGTAACTCTGCCATAAGTAATGTATATGCAAAAATAACTTGACTGAAGAAACCACATGCTCCCTCCACAAGGAAATCTTAGCAGTAGCTGAGTTGGTGCAATCCCTTAATGCAATGCTTCTCAACCTGTGGATCTCCAGATGCTTTGGCCCACAATTGCCAGAAATCCTATCCAGTTTACCAGCTGTTACGATTTCTGGGAGTTGAAGGCCAAAACATCTGGGGACCCACAGGTTGAGAACCACTGCCTTAAGGACTTTTCTACCTGGCCAGCTAGTGCTTGGAAGAATACTCTATCACATGCTAGGAGTACATTTTCTGTGTTGCTGTGATTTGGATTCATTCATTGTACACAATCCTCCTCCTTCCTTACATGACTGGTGAAGATAAATAGGTTAGCATCCACTACAACATTTCTCATCTTAGAAAAATACAGTCCTGTCCTCATGGAATGAAGAGCAGGGAAGTAGCTTGGAATGCACCTAAGTCTTTGAAGTTGATTAAAGACTTTTGGTTATAATAAGATACAGAGTGTCTTGAACCCAGTAGAGCTATTATTGTGATGATGATCCCATAGTCTAGTTGCTAAATGTGAAAGTTGATGGGCATCATCTACAGATAGTCCATATAAGTTAGTTGACACATTGTTGTCCATTCTTTATTCCAAGAGCTCAGAACTGTGCTTTAACATCTTGGTATCTTTTTGAGGTAGGCTGTGCTTTAATTGTGGCAAGTAGAGTGGGGATTTGAGACTAAGTTTGCCCACACTCACATCCACCACTCGGTTCTGCATTATAGCATAGTTCTTAGGAGTTATTTCCTATCTTTACACCCCAGTTGGTTACAGCTGTTACACGAGAGTAGGCTCCATTAAACCTAGTGAGAATTACTTCTGAGTAAATATGTTTTGGAGTGCTTTGTTGGTTTTGTGTTTCATTCTCCTTTTCCCTGATCCCAGAATAAAACTATTGGAGCTCTGCTTGAAAGAGATTTAATTTTACTATAACTCCTTTGTGGCTCTTATAAATTCTTGGTTTCTATAAAACTCAGTGCACGTTATTCTTCTAGAAGGAAAGGTCAGGCAGTATTTCTATACCAGCCAAATTTACAGTGGCAGTCCCAGATAAAGGATTGTGTTTGTGCTACTTCTATGTAAGTTAAAGAGAAATGTTCTGACTATGGTAGTACTTCATAACTTAATTTACAGATGATGGGGTTTGTCTTTCTTTTTTGTTTTCAAAAAGGCAGTAGTAAATCCATTTACCACAAACAAATCCTGAGAGCAGAGTAAAGTTTAACTTGTCCAGAAATTGTAATCAGTATCTTTCCTGCTTTTATTTTGTGCCATGCTCATGAAATGCGGTTGCTTTGTAATGTGCTACATTGAACTGATGTTAGCACAGTGTTTTTAAACAACCAAATTCTCTTTGGATTTATGGTGGTAATTGTCACAATTTTCTGGGCCAAGAAAGCTCTTAACACTACCTGTTGAGTTGATGGCTACATTTAATTCTTGATAGGATCTGTAGTGGACATTCAAATAGATAAAAGATCATCAAACCAACTATTGCCAGCTACTTTCTCCTGTGGAAGTCTTCAGATGCTGTTCTTAGTCTCCATATAAACAAACACACAAAAAGGGGAAGACATAATTTAGAGATGAAAGCTGGTTGGAGATGCCATAACTTTAAAAAATTGCTTTATTCCAAAAAATTGCTTTTAAACACAGTAGTTTATAGTTAAAGCATAGAAAGTGAGAAACCTTCCTAAAGACATTGACTACACTCTAAGACAATGGTTCTTAGCCTATGAGTCGCCAGGTGTTTTGGCGTACAACTTCTAGAAATCCCAGCCAGTTTACCAGCTTTTAGGATTCCTCGGAGTTGAAGGCCAAAACATCTGGGGACCCACAGGTTGAGAATTACTACTTTAAGAGAAAAAGTTCAGTATCTGGTATTATTAGTGTGCTGGAATCATCTTTGACTTCTACTTGTTATTTCTTTCAATTCCTTGGGTTTTAAATAAATGTCAACGTTTACAGAGCCTAGATGCATACGTTCTTTTGCATATTGATGGTCAATACAGTCTTCCGGAATTAATAGTTACCAGACGAGATGATGGAGTCTCGTGCGATGGCGGCAG